CCCCCCCCCCCCCCCCCCACTTCCTTTTTCTGGGCCTAGCTTATCAGCTTAATACCCAAACTAATATATTCTAACTCTAAACACACACACATTTATACATATATATATACATATATAAAAAATATACAGCTATATACAGATAGTGGCAGTGACATTCAGCAGTGATATTTACACATGTCAGACAATGGGGATACTGGACCATACAGTCACCCCAGGACATGACTATTGTATAGTTGTATAGTTCCTAGCTAGCTCCAATACTTTTCCTTGCCTTTTCCCTACCCTGATAGGCAGAAAGACAAAACACATTCCAGAGGCTCCAAACCCCGGGTGTCCAAGGCTCCTATCCTATCTTGGTTCTTCCTGGGAGCCAAGGATGAAATATTCTCCTCAGACACATTTTCATAAACAAAGTTTAGTTCCTATCTAAAGCGGGGCTACTGATGAGGTGGAACCAAAGGGGGGGGGGAATTACTTCATCACTTGTGCTTCTAATTGGGGATTATTGTCAATTATGCTAATTTGCTAAACTTATAAAACTGTATTCACCCCATGCGGGGGTGGGCATTTTTCCATATCTGCCCCTGGCAGCCTCCAATAAAGACCAGCTTTTATATTACCTCCTATACTAATATTGTCTCGGAAGTGTGTTGTTTCATTTCTAGGTCTTTAAAGCATCAGCACCTTCAGAAGCATTTTTCCCAGGGGACCTTGCTAACTAGTTCCCTGAGCAGCCTGAAGTCTGCTCTCCTCATGTCCAGGGTTGAAGTTTTGCTGGCAGTTTTCCTTCTGTCAACAGAGAATTTAAACGACTGCTTCATGATTGCAGTGGCCAAGGCAGCCACCAATCACCACTTCATTCAGGAGACCCTTCTGTTAATAAGCAACTAATCAAGGAGGGTGTCTTTCCTAGTCAGCTCCCTTAGTACTGTGCTGGTTTTGCATAAATTGATTTTTGGTGAGGAGGGAAGAAGCCACCTATGGAAGTGATTTTCTGAGAGGAGCTGCTAAGAGCTTCCTCTGTGCCTGGCAAAACCAATCAGTGACTAGTTTTGAGGATTGGCACCCAGTTAAACCACTTAAAAAAAGTTAAATCTGCCTCCGTGAAACACATTTCAAAGACAGTCAAGCCCGGGAAAAGCTCTCTTGCTTCTGGCCTTGGACAGGTAACTAGACACAGGCCCCACCAGGCCCCGCTCTGCCATGGCCCACATGGCCTGGCAGGGCCACGCCAGGCCCCAGTGGCTGCTGGGCAGGGGGAGGGAAGTCCATCAGCCCCCAGTGTGCTGCAGTTGAGCCCTAGCCTGGCTGTTGAGATCCTAGCCACTGAAGAAACCTCCATCCTAAACAGCTTTGGCTGCAAGCTACCAAGGGGCTCTCTCGGCACTGCAGAAGACCATGCAGCTGAGACCAGGGGCAGCTCTGCAGCCCACACAGAGAGTGGCCCCGCGACTGGAATTGAACGCAGCAGGAGCCAGAGATCAGCCATGTGGCCAGAGTGGCTGCTGCCGTTCTGGCCCGGGCCCCTGAGATTCTGTCACAGCCCCCAGCATGGCCTGAAATGCATCACCATGAGAGCTCCAGCCAAAGCCCAGCAGAGTTTACATGACCATCCGCAGGCCTGGGCAAGCTATTAACTCTTTCACTGCACAGATGAAACTTGCAAACATTGATCCTCTCAAGTGAAAGAAAAGGAGAGTGAAGACACGTAGAAGACAAAATGAAGACACCAAGGTCAATAAAGAAGGAATTGAATCTCAGATGGGAGGAGAATGAGGAGATGCCTTAGTCTTGGGCTGAAATTCTTTTGTGAGGCCATGGTGATGGACTATGATACACTAAAATATCCCGGTAATTTATGAAAAAGCATGGGGGGATAGAGCATTCAAACTGTAGACATGAGGAAAGGCATCCATGCTGAAGCAAGAAGATGTTGAAGTAGTTGTGATCCAAATGAGAAGTTTGAACAGAGAGACAAAAATGATGAAGACCCTTTGCTCCCAGGGAAGAAGAAGAAAACCTCTGTTCCCAGAGATGATCTCAGAGATAGATGAAGAGAACCTTTGCTTTTGAACAGCTCATCCTTAAAAGTGTACCCCATTAGCTGAAGACTGAGCCCTTGAAAACAGTTGTGGGGAAAGCTGTAAGTCAAGGCGAGGAACTTTCATACAGTGATCAGATTTCAATTTTTCCCAGGCAGCTGATTCGCTGTGATGTTGAAACCATGAGAGAACTGTTTCTTGTGGAGAAGTCTCCGTGGCATGACAAGAGAGACTCCTCTCCTTAAGTAAACTGAAGAAAGATTATTTTAGAGATGGTAAACTGACTGAAAATCCCAGGTTTTGTCTCGACATTGTCAGTGGGAAAGGAAAGAGGAGTTGGGGGGAGGAAAAATGTTTTAAACGTTTATTTTGATTCTTATTATTTTTTCCTTTATTTCTGTTAATAAAGTTTTCTTTATACACTTTAATATTACATTAGTAACCCGTGATGTTCGTATGGCTGAGACATAACACACAACAAACTCCCGTTGGTCATCAGCAAACAGCACGATTTATTGTCCAGGGCTTTCTTTTACAGCCCATTCAAAACTCCCGGGTTGAGACAGGTCATTGGTCTATCCATGTGCCTGCCCCCAGACCCTGAACCAATAAGATGCTTGCATCCTAGGAGAGCTCCCATTAGCTGTGAGCTTCTGTCAGTCAGCCCAGAGGCTGGTTCATGGAGCTGAGCTGGGCTGCTTATTATAACTTGATTAATGCTAATTCAACATCTCACCATTTGTCTTTACTAAAAATTGTGATCTGTTCTCTGTCATCTATTTGTAAGAGTCCCTAGCAAACAGGGTGACAGAAACAGCATGGTTTTAATTTGCATGACATATATTAGTGAAGGTGCAGTATATTGGTTTAGAGTCTGTAGGTAAGAATTTCTTAAAGTTTAGGTTACAAATCATAGATTATTTTAACAGCAAGAAGCTACTTAACTCCTAAAACTGATGAAGAAAGTCTAACTACTAGAGAAAACAATTTGTAAACAGAAAACAGTCTGTAAACGTGAAAAATAGTTTGTAAACAAAGCTGTAAGTTATATCCTAACTCTGAACTGAAATTAGAAAACCTCTAAACACTTAACTTTAGTACTGTAATGAAAAACAAGCTTAACAGATAAGGCAATTCATAAATGAACAGAGTTCTTATATTAACTATTTCAAAAGTCCCAGATTTCTATGAGGCAGTTATCAGTTGTTTTGGTTACATGGCTTCATGATGTCTGATGAAGGGACATCGGGCTGGTGTCTGTGGTTTCCAGTTGTCCTAAGCTGACTACATGATGCTTTTATCCCCAATTGTCTTGTTCTGTTTATGCTGAATAATAAGTTTTGCACCTTTAAGACTTGTTCCAGAGAGTGAAGGGGAGAAGAAAAAGTTCACAGTTTGTTTTCAAACACTGCACTCACTCCTCCACATTCCTCTTCCTGGACTGTGTTGTCCGTGGATGGACAAACAGCAAGACAAAGCTCTCCTTTGTTTTAGTTCGTTTTAGCTAGCTGAAGCAAAAAAGTTCCCTAAACTGTGTTTTTTTTCCCTTTTCTTTGAACCTGTTTAAACCTGTTCTGACCTAAACACCCAAAAGAACACCGACAACTCACACTTATAGCCCACCAAACCAGGCCTGGGCTGCAGCATTTCCAGCACCAGAGGGACTGATAAAAGACTAAGTGAGCCAAGCTGCAACCTGGGGAGGGGACTTTTCTGAGTTTGTAATCTCTTTTAAAACAGCAAGAAGTTTCATTGTTTAATATTGTTTAAGTTTTATTGTTTAATAAACAGGGTTTTTTTCCACTTTTCTCCAAAGAAATATTTTCTCCCAAACCAGTTAGGGGGAGGGGTCCCAAATTTGCCCTAAACCAAAACAAATACATTTAGTGGTGCCCAACCATTATTGGGGACACTTTTTTGAGGTTTCAATACCTTTCTAGTCACTAAGATTATTGTCCCTATCACCTATTTTTTACAGTAGAGGGGCACAAATTAAAATAACTATTGTGCTAGGATTGGTGATAATAATTTATAGAGCATTTACAAAGATACTAGAGTCTGTTTACAATATGTATGGTATATAGTTTCTTCGTCCTACCCTGCGTCCTAGTTCCAGTAGTATGTTTTTCCTGGGGTTTTCTGTGGTTGAGATGATCCTGAGATGTGTTAAAAGACTTTTTTCCCCAACCCAGCTGTCCGAGAAGAAATCAGAAGTCTTCGGCTGTCGTTCTCAAGGTTGTTTATTATTTCTTATCTAAAACATTTTCTGTCTGGCCTGCCAAGGTCTGTTCTGCAGGTCAGGCTGAGGCACACTCCCCGCCCACGGGGTTGGTGTTGTCCTTTATACTACAAACTACGTACTCAATATTTACAGTTATTTTCCAATACCTATTGCCTATGTTAGACAGTGACTTTCTATTCTAAACCAATCCCAAAGTGCCACCATCACCAAGAAGATGGAGGCTAGGAAGAAGAAGGAAGAAGGACAGGAAAACGCCCAATCCCTCCATCTTGTCCCCTAGACCCCCATAGTAAAATTCTTGAAAATTCCACCTTTCACCCTGTGACAGCTACTGTTATGCTACTTAAACTTTTGTGACTTGTAATTCTTCATATAATGTTGGTAATTTGCTCCATGGGTCGAGATCGAATTCCCAAGTGTCTTTGGCTTCCTGCCAGGGTCTCCGACCCCCCTGCCAGGATTTTGAGCCATCCAGGGCATCCAGAGGGATGTCCTGGTTTCCAACATGTTTTGAGAATTGCACCCGGTTTGTTAAAAGCAGAAAATAAAGCTTTCCAGCCTTTCCTTTCCTTCTTCTCCTTTAAATC